CTATCTATCTATCTATCTATCTATCTATCTATCTATCTATCTATCTATCTATCTATCTATCTATCGATTAAACACACCACACATGCACGCCTCTTTCTCTTTGTTAGTGTCATAATCTACGGGTGAGAATGTACACGTTAAAATAATTTATCACTGAAAGTTCGTATTATAAAATATTAGTCAAATTTTTTTATTTGCAGGTATGGAGGGCTGGGGTAGCGTACTCGGTTTTGAGTATTGTTTGTGAAGTCTGTTTCTGTGAAGTTATTCTAACGATGGCGAATGTTAAACTTGCTCCTCCGAAAATTCATTAAGGAACGGGTCTTTGGGCTGACTGGCTGGAAGAAAGAAAGAAAGAAAGAAAGAGGGAGGAAAAAGAAAAAGAAAGAAAAAGACAGAAAGAAAGAAAAAGAAAGCAAGAAAGCAAGAAAGGAAGAATGAAAGAAAGAAACAAACAAGGAAAGAAAGAAAGAAAGGATACATCTGCGACTGATGAATTGCACCAATACCACCACGCGATCATCAGTCAGGTAGAAGAGGGGGTTCTGCGTCAATTTCAGCCACCTGGCGTTTATACCGCAGTTAGGTCTAAGCAAGGTGTTTTTTTTTTTCATTTTTATTGCCGTCGAAATGCAGCCTGCCCTGAGCGGAATCGAACGCGCACCGTGGAGTTTATTAGCGCCACACCTTTTGTGGTAAACTCTCACGGTAGGCTATAGTATTGAAGAAAAGTAAGCAGGGTATTGCAGTCAGTACACTCTGCCGGAAGGTAGGATTGATTTTCCTGGAGCGAGGCCATTATCGACAATAGCTGATCCTCTCTACCTTTATCCAAAGACGACGGAACAGGCGCAAAATCAATCTCGCCGCAGCTGACTTTTGAAATCGCTGCGGAACGTCGAAGGACGACGTAATATATATGTATATATATATATATATATATATATATATATATATATATATATATATATATATATATATATATAACTTTCTTGATTGGAGCTGTTATAAATACATGATAATTATGAAATGGGCGCAGTCCTCGCCACAGAAACAAGATACTGAATACATTGAAGGATCAACTCTTAATCAATAAGGACGCACAAAGTTCTCAGGCTGCTGTGCTTCTTATTATTTTGTGCTATGAATTCCAGCCATTGCGCGTTGCGCTACGCGAGAACGATTTATTCAGCTTTTCCCACGCGAACTTTCAGGTGAATGGTGTGCGGGTAAGCCTGGGAACCTATGAATGTCTCAGAACAAAAGAATCACGTCTGCGCGTGGCCAATCCGAAATAATTTTCAGAATGCCCGTCTCGAAAAGACGAAGCAAAGACCTATTTATTACGTGCGTAGCTAATAGGCACTCTTGTAAGGTACAAATTGCCCGCACGTCACCATCCGGAAATCCTCTTAACCTTAATGGCTTAACCGTAACATATTACGCTCTTCCACAAGGTTTTCCGCGTTTGAGTTAGCGATGCATAAATCATGCTCCAAAAGAGCCGCCGGTTGTGACAGCCTCATATCGCCGCTCATTCATGCGTCATAACATTGAATAATTTAGAACGCGTTACTTCAACAAAATTACAAGCCGAAATAACTGCCAGCGCATGTCTTATTCATGTGTGGTTGCGAGAGCTGATAATTTGTACAAGAATTAAAAAGAAAAGCGGGTGCATGGAACCGAATGTACATCTGTCAACCCTCTTTGTTTTTCAACCGCACGTCTCCTAAATAGGTCAGGTCTCGCGTTTCGCGAAATGAAACCAGATGGAAAAACTGCGCGTTTACATTCGTCACCAATCCTCAAACGAGTCACATTTTATTTATTCATTTTTAACCGCGTCTGGCTCTCCTTAAATATGTATTTGAAAAACAGCGTGAAGACTGATGTGTTAGTGATAGAAATGGCTGGGCTGAAATGTTTCATATATCTCCATCAAGTCGTCATTTTCTTTTTCCTTGTCGGCACTGACATCAAGCTATTCATTAAAATCGAGCTAGAGGAGCGCAAGCAGGCTATGCGGTGCGATAAAAAAAGAATGTATTATAATAACTGGCTTCGAATAAAGAGAGAAAATTCGTATTCATTTGGGTCACGTTGGTTTTTCTAAAACAAGGCTCCTCTTATACGTAAAGAAAAAAAAATAACTTATTCCCTCAAACTTTCTCACATTGTTAGTTTTGGAAGTAGGGTGGAGCGTTTTCGCGCGAATAAAAGAGGGCGCCATTTTGGTGCCACGATTAATTCGCGGTGCAATGCGGTATACGCGTGCGTGCGCGAAATCGTTCGCGTCCAAATTTGTCGAGACTCTAGTATCTATTTTTTTTTCTGTAGGATGGGCTACGCCCCCTCATTGGTCGACCGTACCGCATCCGGTCTTTACCACCCAGTGCTGTCGTACAGATTTACATTTCTCTTAATACTTTCTCGGAGCCCAGTAAGACGACTCGTTGCAATCGCACATGCACACGGCGCGCTTAAACGCCGCGGCTCTCAAAAAGACGAGTCTTTAGCTTCCGTCCTTCCCGAACTTAAAACAAACGGGGCGTTTGTTTGGACGACGAGGATCGCTTTAAAAGGAGGCCGAACATTACGAGCACGACTTCTGTTTCTTTTGGTTCGCTCTTAGAAGAGGACGTACAGCGTACGTTCACGCGTACAGCCCGGCCCGGACGAAGCGGTAAAAGCACGCGGATAGTCGTTTTGAAGTTTCCCGCCGCCACCACCGCTTGCGTTACGCTTCCGTGCGCGGTCATCTCTCGGAGAGGATACTGACATATGAGCGAGGCGGCAACGCCTTTCGAAACAGCGCTACCGGGGCCCCGAGAGGGAACACAAGTCGTACTTGTCTTTTAGGCCCAACAACGAGAGAACGGGAGGCGAGCAAGGAAGCGCGCCTTTCATGCACCACCCTCGCCCCCTCCTCGCCTACTCACTCTCCTCATCCATTTACCACGTGTACGAGCGTAAGCTCGAGCGTGCCATCTCTCGCCAGCATTTAGCGCCACGGTCACGGGTAATTTCGCGCCCACCACCGACTCCTATCCTCGGTATACACCTAGTATACACCCCAGTATACCTCTCCCTTTGGATGGCGGTGGCCACGGTTACACTAAGGAACCTATACGGCCCGTGTTTCGGCGTTCTCAATAGTTCGTCCAACTTATCCCAACAGTCCGACGACCACTATCACGTCCTTCTCTCGTTAGAAGGTAACTTCTAATTAGTTGTAATGTGCATCGGCTGTCCCTGCCACTCTAACGTTGCCTCGTCCATTGTCTTTATACATTTCCCTGTACCAGCAGTGCAGCTAGTCAGGTACTCCCTTCTGATTGACGTCCATTCCTCGCCTTGCATCTGTATCAGGCTAGCATTTCCGAGTTTATTATGAATTAGTTTTCTATCTGCAACCGTCACATTGAATTATTACACCAAAATTCAGATACAGGTGCGCAAAATCAAATGCATGAATTACAGTAGCTTTTCCATTGGCTAAAACGACTATAAGTTTTGTATAGTTCGGCAAAACGAATGCTTAACACGAAAAGAATACACTGATAAATTTCGATGCCATTTACTATTTTGATGTGTTCTTTTTAACTTAGAGCGCCCATAATAGCCAATTATAAAAGGAACACGAAATGTTAACACTTTCATTGATGTATAACTGCGTCAATGCATAGATGGTTTAAGCATACCTACCATTGTGCAAGCATCTTTCATAAGTATGTCGGAGCATCTGTATAGAGCTGAGTATGAAAATTCATTGTTTTGGGCATTGGTGGTGGTGATGATGTTGCCACAGGTCGGGTTAGCCTGGCAGAGCTGGCCGGCAATTGCTCTGCCTGAGCGACTCTTTCCATGTAGTTCAGCTCACCATACATTGCTTAATCTTGTCTCTCGTATAAAACGTAATAGTGTGTTAATCACTTGCTTTTGCATCAACTGCACACCTACCGGAAACGCAATGTCTTGATAGAATCCACAGGGAATCCCTACTTTCTTCATACTGTTAATTAATCTCTCCCTTTCAAAGCATAAACGCTTACAAGACCAGATGTATAGGACAGGGTATCCCCGACTTCATTGCATTTAGTGCACGGCGAGGAGCCAGTGCCAACTACTTTAAGTGACCATGCTGGAGTGTATGGCGATTTTGTTCATGCTATGTAAAGTAGAGTTGACTCGGCCCGACTAAGGCCTCTTATGACACAAGGCTTATGGGACGAATTCCGCAAAGAGCGAAAATGACATTGAATAGTCTGCTTTGGTAGTTGCTGTTTCATAGGCGATCCAATTGTCATTGCTTCGCATCAGATCAGTGCTTTTGTTTTAGGTATGAAGCACTCGGATTTCGCAATGACGTAGCTGGTTGTAATTTATTCTGCGCTACTTTTATCATGGTGAACAAGTATAACGTACAATGCAAAATGATGCAGACAAGGTCCGGATGAGAGAGAGAGAGGTTGACTTTATTTAAACATATCCTGAGGAGGCTGAGAAAGGGCCATTCCGACCCTTAATTCAACCTGGAGTCTCCGCCCAGGATGGCGCTGGCAGCCGAAAACTTCTAGCGATGAGAGACTGTTGGATGAGAGATTGGACGCCGGTTATTAATCCGTGTCTCATGTTTCTTTCTTCATTCTTTCTCTGTCTCTCTTTTTTACACGCAAGTGTTTTATGCCGGTGTCCACAACGGTTCCAATGATGTAATTTCGTCACGGATATGACGTAGTAAAATATAAACAGAAGGATTGCAAAGAAAAAAAAACGACCACGAAAAGTTTCATAACGGGGCATCAAACGAACGACCTCTCGCTTTGCAGCTTTTCTTTTCATTCGTGCAATAATATTATCGTTTAATTTTTTACATCTTCGTGCCTCACATATAAGAAATCTTTAAACGCAAATAATTTCTCTTTATTTTGTGAAGTTGTTGGAAGGTTACGAACTGGCGGAAATAACGCAACCTGACCGTGATGTTGCTCTTTCAGACGCCCCTCACAGGACGCGGTACTACCAGGAGAGCAGGGAAGGCAAATACCGAGGCCCGCTGTTCGTCTTCACCCACACGCTGTTCAGCATCCCGCTGAGCCTCATCAGTGTCTTCGCCGGTGCTACCATCATCTACGCGTGAGTGGGCAGAGAGAAAAAAAAACGGCGTTTCTCTAACCCTAACCGAACGCACACACAGAATACTACACCTCCACCCGACTGGGCACACGTTGCAACACCTCCACCTGACTGCGCACACATTACAAAGACCAGCCAAAGGGCTCGATAAGGCAGAGGATATCCTGACAGACACGTAGGCTGCAGACTGTATCGTACCACGTGGGTGTAGTTGTATTGCCCGGGCTACTACACTCAAAACACCCGGGGTTCCTTTTCGTTTTTTTCTTTTTTATTTGAGTGCCTCATTTCGTGGCGTCAGGTCCACGCCGTGACGCACGTTCTCAGCTTGCCGGCGAAACTGAAAGCGTAATACCAATAAAGCAACTAGTGTGAAAGGCGTTGAGAGGAGGCGTTGTCTGGCTTGACCGCTAAGCTACTTAGTACTTTGGTGGAGCAGACTTATGCAGTTGCCTTTGCTGACGCAGTCCTAGAGAAAGAACAAATCATAGCCTCTTGCTTCTATTCCAGCATTTTATGTTCATAGGAGCTGTGCTCAGTATCATCAGTATCTCGGAAGACTAGCTATCTACGCCGGATTCTTATCTTTTTATCGCTCGCTGCAATGTTGTCAATGCAGCGCTAAAGAGGTTGAAAAATTTTCCAGGTGTACGCTAATTGCTTCTCCTAAATAGCATGACCTAATTGTGCAAACGAACACAAGCTGACCATTGATTTTATTCGAATCGCAGCGGCACAGGTCTACGTGCCGACTGGCAGCGGTGGGCCACCTTCTGCGGCGTGATGTGGTGCCTGTACGCCCTCGCTGAGCAGCAGACCGTCGCTCTGATGATGGTGGTGCGAAGCTCCTTCTCCGCCTTCCGGTGGTCCGCCTGCATACTGTCGCTGTGCGCGGCACTGGCCTCCGGCACCGTGCGAAGCCTGGTCGTACTGCCAGACTGGACGTACTATCTCACGTACGCCACCTTACAGGTGAGCATATCAACAGCATACGCTCTTACCCGAACGCGCGAGAACAAGTGATAAAAAATACAAGAGAAATGCATATGCTGGGAGATTTTCAGATAGTACATAAAAGAATGTTCGCAGTCGTACGAACCCGCCGCGGTGGTCGAGTGGCTAAGATACTCGGCTGCTGAACCACAGGTCGCGGGATCGAATACCGGCCGCGGCGGCTGAATTTTCGATGGAGGCGGAAATGCTGTAGGCCCGTGTGCTCAGATTTGGGTGCACGTTAAAGAACCCTTGGTGGTTGAAATTTCCGGGACGATATCTCCCTTTTTGTGCGAGATCCAAGCAGTCTCGAGCGCTTTCACCAGGTATTCGCGTCATACGCCCTAGCATCAGGTGCACAGCTAAATGAGAGGAAGTGTAAAGCCCTCCTATTCGGCCATTTCCCGGCGCACGTGATCGGCAACTTCGAGGTAGTCACCGCTGTTAAGGTCCTCGGTATATACTTTTCCCGCGAGGGAGTTACGGCCTCTACGTGGTCCCGAGTCGTGGACAGGGCTGCACAAGTGTCAGAGAGCGCTAGCCTACAAGGCCTGACGCTATGCGAGAAAGCAGTAGCCGTCAAAACAAGCATTTTCGCCCTAGCCTCGCATGCGAGCCGAGTAGCGGTGATGCCCACAAGAACAGCAAGCCAGTTGACCAAACTCATTAACGCATACCTCTGGGATGGGAAACCGCCACCATTGAAGCAAAACTTGCTACAACTGGCAGTGTCAGAAGGGGGTCTCGGCCTACCACATGTGTTGACCACGAGCAGAGTCCTGGCCCTGAAAACCGCCCGCATGCTCGCGCGCGCGAGCGATTACCTAGGGCGCAACCACTCCTCTACTGGAGTGAAGTGGAGTGGAGCACGACTGGCTGGATGCAGGCCACCACATTGGGCCCTTTGCTGAGGCACCCGCGCCCTTCTATAAAACGGCGTCGGCTACCTGGCGCATGTTGAGGCAAGAAGTGCCCGAAGGCGATGTGGATGAGGACCAGCCAGCGCGCATCGTTGAAGCCATCACGCGCAAGCAGCTGAGCGACACTGAACAAAAACGAGCCGAGCGCGCGAAGCGCGAATTACTCTCGCTCCGTTGCGGCACCCCCCGTGATGCACAGGATTTTCTCCTGAAAAACGCCTGGGCCGTCCTCCCCACCAGACAACGCCTGCATAAATTTGGAATAGTCCCGGATGCACGTTGTCCGAACTGTCACGCAGTTGAATCGCAGGATCACGCGTTGTTCCAATGCGTGGCGGTGAAACCCGTGTGGCGGATGGTAGCCCGCTCCTTTGGTATCCGCCCACCTCCTTACCACAAGCGCAACAAAGGTGCCTTCGGCCAACTTGTGCTGATCTTCACGATGCTAGCTATTTGGCAAAGGAGATCGCTAGCGGAGGCGCGTAGAAAGCCTGTCCGGAGCGCGTTTCCGGTAGTCTCGCGTATCCGGCGGTTGCTATGGGCCCACCTATCCGGCGAACTCGAGGCCAGCGGCGAGGAAAACTTCCTTCGTCGCTGGCATACCAAATTCTTTTTTCTGAGGAATGGCAAGCTAGCCGCCCCAATCACTACCTGGTGACCCCCCTCCCGCTGTCTAGCACATGCAGAAGGGGACTTGTGTATATATATATCTGTATCACCTTTTTCATTTCATCACCCCATTGTCGTTGTTATTTGTAATCGATTCGGGCAAAGTGTGCTGGTCGACACTTGAGTTGAATTTTGTATAGCGCCTTCTTCTTTGATTGGCGCCTTCAGACACTTTTTTACGCGTAGATTGTTGCTGATGCCTTATTTGGGGGGAGACAAGAGCCCCCCCCCCACTCCCTTGTACCCCTCCCCCCCCCCCCAGCCTCAAGGCCTTTTTTATACCTCCGGACATGCACTTACTGTGTACGAAAGCAGCATTGTTTCAGGCGACAAAAAAGAAATAATACCTAGAGTTGTACAGCGCTAAGTCGCTACTTGTTCCCACCGCGTGTTGAGAAGACCTACCGCCGCGCATGATTAAGCCTGCTGGAGCACCACGCGCTGTACAGTAAATAGAGGGGTACATTCCCCCACATACATTGTACCTCGGTAGTGGTGCTTTCCTGATTGTACATGCACCCTTTGTAGTCGTGAAGCTCGATGTTTTTGTCATGTACTTTATCCTTGGTTGGAAGTCAATAAACTTCTCTTTGTTGCCCTCCAATACGGCATCTCTCATAATCATATGGTTGTTTTGGGAAGTTAAACTCTACATATCAATCAATCAATCAGTCGTACGAACTAACAAACACATGTCGGTACTGGCTGACAATCAATATTATTTAGCAAGCATTAGCCATTATTACAGATAACTTAATCAGCGTTAGTCAATGCAAGCCTGTTTAATTACTCAATGCAAAAACTGAGCGAGCCTGCCATTGTGCGCCGATTGTATAACTTGGTTGTTTGTTGCGGCAACTGCGCTTTGCATCCCGTTTTTTTCCGAGCCGACTACGTGATGTTTTTATCTTCTACAGATTCTTACTTTACTTTTTGCTTTGCACAGTAATAGAGCTTTGTCACTTATGCGTTTATAAAACACCAAGTACTCTCGTGAACCATAACACCTTACCTTATGGGTTTGTGGAGATGCTCTGCACCGAGAAAAACAGCCCTAGAGTGCTTATGGTTTAATATTTTCTTGTTATACGACTAACGAATATTTACTGGCGATCGTGCAGACTTAACTGCACGGGCTTACACTATAGATGAGGACGAAACCAACATGCACCTAACTTACTACCATCTGATATTTCCGTCATCCTGTTGCTGATAATATAAGTTGATGTCAGCACAACAGACGCCCAGAAAATAGTTTTGAAAGGAGAACGTCACAAGGGAACGGCTGACCTTCAGGTAACTGGCCGAAGGCAGGTATTCTAGATTGTTTATAGAATTAGTTGATGATGCAGTTTCTTACAATCACGCTTCCAGTCATACCAAACATAGCTTCCTATCCCAAGTGTGGAATTTCCCTGCCTTTACTTTTTATTCTGTTCTCTCCGTCTTTCTTGAGATCCCTTAACTTTCCATCTGAAGTAGCTTTCCAGATTAAGCACTAGGGTGCATTCCTCCGCCTTCTCATTAACCTTACCTCACTATTGCTCGTTTTACTTGCAGCGGTACGCGTTCGCGTTTGTGCATTCTTGAGAGCCCTTAACTTTCTATCTAAACTAGCATTCCAGATTAAGCACTATGGCGCATTCTTCAACCTTCTACTTAATCTTGCCTCTCTATTGCTCCGTTTATTTGCAGCGGTACGCGGCAGCGTTTGTGCAGCAGAACGAACTGGAAATGCACCCGGGGCTTGAGAACCTGCCATCGCTCAACGGCAGCACTTGCGGCCCCAACGTGGACAGTGGCCGCTGCTTCTTCGTCAATGGGTCGCACTACCTGGGCCACAAGTATCGCATGGGACGCGGACAGGCCGAAGTGGACGTCCAGTACTGGCTCAACTTCGGACTGTGCTTCGCATTCGTGGGCTCCTTCTGCCTCGTCAACGTCATATCGCACATCATCCCGCTGCCAGCGTCCATCAAGTCTAAGTTCAGAGACTAGTGCAATAGCTTAATCACCGCAGGAGTTCTCCTCTTTTTCTTTATCACTGATTGCCAGAAAGGCACAGAATCGGAAAGAGATCGCTGATGATCAGAACTGACACAGGTGCTTCCCATGCTCCAACCAGTGCTGAAGTTTCAGCTTACCGTTGTGCAGAATCTTGACCACTCTGGCAAGTGAGGATTGCGTAGGCTCTGGTTGCTGCTGATGATTGTGGTCAGGTGAGCCTCTTTTGTCGAGCACAGAACTGCCTTGCCATACCGCTCAGTCGTAATCTCCATATGCCATCGATGGGGGAGTGAGAGAAAGCTTCAATGTCGAAGCCGTCATAGACGCACCAGCAAGCAACCCACCTTTACAGGCCTTGTTATCATCTGCTCTTTCATTCTGAGTCATATGTCAGAAGAGTTCCAATGCTCGACTAGAAAAGACGAAATATCAGTCGACAGATGTCCAACGCTTAGCCTGGGGAACCTCGACGACAACTACTGTAATCACCTGATGAATGAGTAATAGTGGTTAAGTACCAACTAAAGGGAAGCGTAGTCAGTAATGGTATATCGCTAGGTGGGTTGACAAAACGAAGAGTGACATTGAAGAAATTTGCTGGCATATAAGAGAAGCATCTTGCGCCCGACAGGGTAAAGTCGAGATCATTGGTAGATGTTATTGTTCAGCACTCTACGAAATTAAGCTGAGAACGATGAGCAAATAACGCTAACTATAAATTGCAGAGCCAGCCACAGGCTTAAGAGCATTGGAATCTCTTACCTCACATGTTCTACGCGTAAAAATGGCCTTACTAAGAGGACATAAATTATTACACTTGCCATTGACTCACGTGGCAACAGCTTGACTGCTACGCCGGCTGACTTGCGTGGGAGAACTTCGCGCGATGTTTTCAACGGGATGAGAGCGTACGTGCTACTTACAGCGTCCGTACGTGCTACTGCGTGGGAACGAAATTTTTGGCTACTCTCACTTGGAATTCGTCAGAAGTCACGAAAAAGATTTCATGAACTGCCATGAACATGTCAACAACTGCTAACAATTCATCCTGCTGGACGTTATTGCAGTGTCTTGTCTCCCGGTCACCAACTGACCAGTCATCAACATCGAGCGAAAAAAAAAACACACACAAAAAAGCAACCAGCAATTTATAGAATATGGCCGCAGTTTACAATAAAAGTAACAACTTAACACCACCGATACCTTAATGACGCAAAAAAGTGTGTGGCGACGTTTGTTTGAATTAATTCCTTCCCTGGTGCACTGCAGTAGAACTAAAAGTGCACATAAAGTATGGTATGCATTTTCAGCGTTAACTCTCACTGAAAGCAAGAATGTCGGCGTATATAAGATCAGTAGCGCCGGAAAAGACTGCCAAATGGCAGTGGCAACGTGGCACGGGCCGCAACGCAATAGCATGACCAGACGTAAGTACGTTTCTACACTGTTCTTTCTAGTCCTTTAGTCAACCATGCCATCTGGCGGCAAGCATGCAAAGTTCGCCTTCATTTTCTGTGGCCTCCGAGATTGCATCGATCGTATCCCGGCGACTTCTAGCGTAAAAAAAAAAAAGTAAATATGATGGTGGGAACAAGCTCACCTTCATTTTCTGTGGCTTCCGAGATCGCATCGATGGCATCCCGGTGACTAACGTAAAAAAAAGTGAATATGACGGTGAGAACACGAATGCTAGCAAGATATGGTACGATCCCGGACGAACTAAAACCACCACGAGGGGACTCAAACAGCATAAAAGGGGGTGGGGGTGAGGTGGCTTGGAGAAGTAAGGTTATGTCAAGTGAATATAACAGATAATAAGTGGGGTCAAATACGAATAAGACAATCAAATGTGGTTACTGCAAGGCGAATCCCAAGCAACTGCTGGCGTGATTGTAATTCAATGAATGCCTCGCGAGAGCAGAGCTTTTCGCGTTTGAGCTTGCAACAGTTTACCAAATGTACTATGAGTTTTCCTTTGCGTACAGTGGGTCCTCACGACACGATGCCAAAATGTAACGCTGTTGCACTTGAGTATTTAGTGTGACGTACTGTTGGCGTCAAATGAAACCCGAACAGCGGCAAGCATTAGCAATGGTGTCATGCGCGCCGTGCAGTCATCACCGTGGACCTGCGCAGTCCTACCAAGTCTGAGTGCTGTGCGCCTGTCGACGGTGATGACAGGATGGCAAAGGCCATATCATTGCTAATGCTTGCTGCTATTCAGGTTTCATTTGACGTCGATAGTACGTCCAGTTGTCGCCTAAATCGGAAAAGCAATGATTTTATTTCTCTCTAAACAATGGGCCGTAAAAAGGCGAAAGAAAAAAAAATGAAGACTAGGTACCCAAGTAGGCTAGAAATTCCAATTGTGTTGAACGCCCAGTGCAGAAACTGTGCGGCAACTTGAGACGTCAGACGTGGGGGAACTCGTTGATCTATACACAAACTACGTACTTTAGAAACGTCGAGTCGGCCGACTTAGCCAGCGTGCGCTCGATGCATTGCATTGCAACACGTGAGGGTACGTTGTTCAAGCAGCTCAGAATGTCTCGTCGCTAGCACCTCGAGTGGCAGCTGAACGTGTGTTGCTACACTTTTTTTTTGTCAAAACAAGAGCTTAAGTTGGCAATGTTACCGATACGCGGCGCGAGATTTCGCGAGTTCACGAGGTTTTGCTATCTTCTCGTGAGATCTCGCGAGACTCCACGAAAAAGCTGATGTGACCTTCTCCGAGGGATGCTGTCACATGAGAATGCCATAGTGACGCCATACATCGCCAGTCTTTTCAAGTTACCGTGGCGTCACATGCGGACGTTCTTACACGACAAAAAAGACCAGGAAGATGGCACTAACCCTCGAACGAGTCGTATTAGGTGAACGCGTGACGAACAAGGAGGCTTTCGTTCTATGCCTGCGTCGCAAAACCACAAAAAAAGAACTTATGAAGATGTGCTTATTAAGTTAATGTGCACAATAAGGAACTCTTACATGAGTTTCACTCATAACATGGAATGCACAATAATAGGGCGTTATAACCTACTGTTCATTACACCTCTTTCCACATTAATGAACCAAGAACTGTAAGTTCAGCGGTGATTGTTGCGACTAGGTCACTGATTTGCCTAGCAAGGGGTTCTGCCTTCACGTTGCCTGTGTTATGAAGTGCACAGGTGCGCAAGAATTCCCGTTTTAAGCAAATGGGAACTGAGACACACACTCAAAGCACACAGAAAGCAAAGCGTGTTCGTTCTTTTTGTTAACACCTCATCGGAAGTTAGTTAAAAAGCTGCAATGTCTGTCATGAAGACCAAGGGCAGTGGTTGAAGACCAGCTGCCTGGTTGCATTCAGCTGGATTGTTTCCTGTCATGCAGTCACAGCACGTGTTGTTTGACACATCGCACGCACGCACGTACAAACACACGCACGCGCGCACATAGACAAGCGCGCGCACCCGCTCTCACACACTGGACTACCGAAATTGGCAAGAGACTTCCTAAATGGGCGAAAGCCCGTGCCCATCGACATGGGGCCCTTCGGAATGGAACGGCATGCGCACGCCTCCCTTCTTGCATGAGTGGGCACGCGTGGTACGACATTACGCTAGCTGACGCGAGGCGCTAGCGTCCGTTGGCGGGCCCCGCAGCCTTCTGGCACCGTGCAAGAGTACGGACGGAGGGACAGAGAGACGCAAGCACTTAACATTAACGGCTTTCGTTCTCAAATTGGCACATTTTTTTCGCATCATTTTTTTCACAGTGAAGATGTATCTGGTTAGGCGAAGTGAAAATTCGACCACACAGTGCAGACAGAAACTCGTAGTGGGTATGTACCATAGCACTGCATGGAGGAAGCCTCACTACTGAGCGATGACTCACTGAGAATGTATAAGAGAGGAGCAAGCGTAGAAATTATAAAAAAATAAACAGAAAAAGATGTGTGGAATTGGCCGCGCTGTCAGTGACGTCGTTCAATGCGTAACAAACAGAAATAGCTTGGCGAAGCGTCGAAATTAACCCAGTGATAAACACCGGGGCGTCCTGTTTAAGCCTCGCTAATATGGAGTGCCAGGGCTGTGAAAGTTGTGGTAAATGCTTTTGCCGCTAGCCTTGGGTCGAACTTCACAGAAACCCAAGTGTGAGGCTCACGGGACGGCCGTATGCTCTCCCATTGGATTGGATTGGATAAACTTTTATTTGGTCCTCCAAAACACAGATCACTGTGTTGCGAGCAGCTCCCACGTGGGGACTGAGATGCCAAGCTCCTCAGCCGCCTCGCGGGCTTGGTGGACAGCCCAGAGCTGATCTGCCAAGGATGAGCTGCGGATTGCCGCCTCCCATCTGGCAGAGGTGATGTGCGATAAATGAGCGAATTTGGTGCACTGCCAGAGCATGTGTTCTAATGAAGCTATTTCCCCACAATGTGGACAAAGATTACTTGGATATAGGTCAGGGTACATGATGTGTAACATTTTCAAAGTAGGGTACATCCGCGTTTGCAAAAGCCTTAATGTAAGTGCTTGGGGCCGGGTTAGATTTTTGTGAGGTGGAGGAAAAATCCTTCTAGACAGGTAGAAATGTTTAGTGAGCTCGTTATATGTTGTAATAATTTCCCGGTTATCCCCTTCACCGCTAGAACGCATCCCCGGGGAGGCGCGGTTGGAGAGTTCTCGCGCCGCCTCGTGTGCTGCTTCGTTGAGATTGGGAGGGGAATCGTTGATTTGTCCAAGGTGAGCTGGGAACCAACTCAGAAGATGATGTGTTATGTTCTTGCCTTGCAGTATTTTTAGCGTTTGTTCACAGACCGTCCCCTTGGCGAACGCCCGTAGTGCTGCCATAGAATCACTGTAGACCACTTCAATGTTATCCATCTTGAGTGCTAAGGCGATGGCCACTTGTTCCGCAATGATTGGGTCTTTCGTCCTGACCGTCGCTGAGTTGACGACATGGCCAGCTCCATCGACTACCGCTGCCACAAACGCTTTCCCATTGGCGTAGGAAGCCGCGTCAACAAATACGACCCGTCGTTCCTCGTTTGAGACTTGACGAAGTATAGTCCTGGCCCTCGCTACTCTTCTTCCGACGTTGTGTTCTGGATGCATGTTTCTCGGTATAGGAGATACCGTGATAGTCTCCCTGATGTTGTCAGGGATATCATTGTAATTGCGTCTGATTGCTATTGGGTGTTGGCCCAGCTCCTGCAGGATCATTCTCCCCGACCTTGTAGTAGATAACTTTGCAAACTGTGCTCTCTCTTGGGCTTCTGCTATTTCTTCGAGCGTGTTGTGTATGCCAAGCTCAAGCAGACGCTCGGTGCTGGTATGTATGGGTAGGCCCAGGACCTTCTTGATAACTTTCCTGAGGAGCACATTCAGTGTCTCGGACTCTGCTCTTGACCAGTTGTGCATTGCTGCCTCGTATGTGAAGTGACTTAGAACAAATGCTCTCCCATAGCAGCGTACCCCATACTCTAAATTGTTAACTACTTTTAGGGGCGAAGCTTCTTATAGCTGCACCCGTTCGTCCCTCGTAGTCGTAGTCGTAGTGTGTAACCAGTCTCAGTACGCTTTGACCTCCAAGGTGGTGCCGGAGGGAGATTTCTCCTGTGCCTTGTTGAACAATAAAAAAAATCGCAGCGTGCGCGTTAACTAAAAGCTGATTTCTTATGTCTCTCATTCCTCATTAGCAGCCATTGGCATGTTCCAGTAGGGAACGTTAGTAGAGGTAGAAGTGTTGAAAGCCGACTTCTGCTGTCTCTCATTCTCAGTAGCAGCCATCGTTTACCTCCAAGGTAGTGCCTGGTGAGATTTCTCCTGTGCTTCATTAAACAATAAAAACTTTTCGTTCAAAACGCCATTGATTGATGAAATAAACCAACGAAAGACGCCAGATGTTTTCTAAAAGCAAAACGAAAAGACGCCAGATGTTTCTAAAGCAAAACAAAAAGAAGACGCCAGCTGCCTAATGAAAGACGCCAGGCGTTTTCTAAAGCAATGGTTTTATAATTAAAACCATATCGATACAGGTTTGTAGTTGACGATGCTCGTTGCCGTCGGTGGTGCTCGTATGGATAAAGATGCCGAAAGGCGGGCGCGCAGGGCAGCGGCGGCGCGCGCTCGCAGACAGGACCCTGAAGCTTGTTATGCCAGCGAGTCCTCGTCAAACGACCGTGCCTCTGAAAAGGGCAATCTGGGTCAAGGCCAGCCCGCAGTCTGCCTGGCGC